TATATATATATATATATATATATATATATATATATAATCTTTTTTTTTTTCTTTAAACACAGAAGGACGAAGACAAATAAGGAAGGGGATTTGGAAGTCGCCTTTTTCTTTCTCCTTCCAAAATATAAATTCTTACATAGACAACCGATCGTCATACTCTTATTTTATAATAAAGCGTCTGCCAAGCTCCTCGAAGTACTGTCTAGTAATTCATAATATATTCAATACCTAATCTACAGGATTTCAAGCACTAGACCTCTTTTAATCTGAAGCCGAGGTAACTAATTCAACAAGAGTTCACAGAAAATACCGAGCGAAAAATTCGACCTACCTATTCAGAAAAGCGAACCGACAACATACCTTACACAAATACACACACTCACTCACGTCTCCCTTAATTACAAATTCAAACCTCGAACTTTAATACGGTCCACTTTTAAATGTTGGTGCCCCCAACATTTGTCTGAGACCGGGAATGTTACGACCCTTGTAGGGTCTCACGTGGGTGTATATCAGTTGGACACGGGGCAATTGGACACAGTCCAATCACAAGTCGCTGTTCCAAGGGACCCTACAAATGTCTCTAATCACACGGTGCTGTGATTGGCTGTGTCCAAATACACCGTGTCCAAGTGCACCGCTCCCGTCTCACGTACCTTTACATTGCATAAAGACAGATTACTTATCCGACCGGGTTACAAAAGCTAAATACACAAGAGAAACATTTAGATCTCGAGCTTTACAAAAGAATCATGAATCATATTACCTACAAGTATGCATGTCCACATATCGTCTCATCGAACATTTCCCGAATTTCTATTTTTTCCTACCAATCCGAGCCTCATCCTTGTTGCAAGATATCTCCAACGAATCCAGTAAACGCCATCCCTGAAATTTCCCATTTTCCGAAACTATAAAAAGTCCGATCCGTCCGATTTTTGGTGATTATTATCATTACTATCTCAATGAGTATCATCTCAAGAATCATAATTGTTACGAGTATCAGTACGACTATTATTACTTCCATTCACATCGCATACGTGGACAATTCCAATTACATCTGCCTTGACCATTTGGAAAACCACAATTATCTGACAGGAAGGAAGCAACAGTTTCAGGAGATCCAGGAGGATCTATTTTTCTGCAATTTTCATACAATAACAGTGAGTCATTGTTTTATTATCCTGTTTTATCAATTTCGAATAAGTCCGGACAGGCATATTTTCACCTTGTACAAATCGCAATAATTCCGGTAGACAATTATCGGCCAAATCCTAAAATCAGTGTATCTCTTCTCTCGTTTTAGTGGGACGTCAATTTTGTCAGCAACGCAGTGATCTGCGCGAAGTTCTAGATACGCTGGAGCTGCTTTCTTCCGTCTCCGATTCACTTTCACGCGAAGTATTTCAATGGATAACGAGTAGACTATTAGCAGAATATTTAGATCTAGAAGATCTACCCCCCTTTCCTTTCCACATATAGCCATTTCCACCAGATCCGTATCCTCTTCCACCATCTCCATCTTCTCCTCCATCTTTTCCTCTAAGTTATTCACCAACCCCTTCACCCTCCAATAATCCT